GTGTTTCCTTTATCCTTAGCTATTCTTACGCTGTATCATTATTGGTTAAATCTTACCTTAACTTGCGTCTTATTCTGAGCTATTCCAGGTTGCCATGATTGGCGTGATAGGCTTTCGATGTCTTCGATTTGATGCGACTGAAAAGTTTAGAATTTTTATTTTTTGTGTCGCAGCCGTTCTGTGTCAAAGCACTTCTGTTCACTAACAGAGACTTAAATTCCACCATTTATTTAATAGGAAAGCCAATCCAGCAGCTATTGATGATTTTTTTCTAGTATTCTGGATTGTTGTATTTTAAAGAGTGTGAAGCAAATTTGATGGGACAATGACATAATGACAAACAACACGACCAGTTTTGAAAAAAATACAACGTTGAAATCATTGCCACATCTTCTACAATTCACAGCTGCTTAGTAGCGTCCATACCTGCCGATTGGTCAGAAAGAAGATTTGAGAATACACTGCAGGGTTTGATTCAAGTCAGAACACATTGCATTTCAAGTTAATCTTCTTTTGTTTTACGTGTGTTTTATGGGAAAGTTGCTCTTCTATGTTGCACTTTAATTCGCGTCATTTGTGTTTGGTACCCAAGATAGGTGCTAAGGTTTGCGTTCCCCCTAGTGTTGTCTTTGCTGTTTATCAAGCGGTTGTCGTCTTGGGCGATCTCAATTTTGAGACGTATATATAAAAAGTCACGTAAGCAAAGTCACTCGTTTGGAATCTCCCGCGAAAATAATACCACCAGGTTTAATGAAATTTGAGCAGGATTTTCATATGAACGGTCTTCCCCCAAATTTTTTAATGATTCAGTGGTATTATTCTTCAGTTGTCAACTTGTAAAAGTGGTTCATTGGGGACAAAGTAGATCTTTTTTTTTTAGTGGTATTTATTTCACTCAGCTTTCTGCTTAAGTTCCTAGAGATGGGTGCCGAACATTCTATAGCTCTTAATCAGAGGCGTACGCAAGGAAGTCCCATTGACTCCCTGTTTGAGCGCGCTGTTCTTGATGCTCTTCGTGAAATAGCGGAGGAATCATCGGTGCCATCCGAACAGATTGAGCATGCGTGGGACCCCGAAGACTGCTCACCGAGGTTCCGAGTTTTGAGTGACAGGTTGACAGCTCGAAGACTTCCCTCACCTCTCACCACAGATGGCATTAGAGGTACTCAAAATCTACACATTAACAATGATATAATTTTTTTTTTGTGTTTTGTTGAAATTAGTTGCTAATTTCAGGTTAAAGTGTCATGTCAAATCTACTGACTTTATGGTATGATTTGTGACTTAATGCCCATGGAAAAAGTTTCAAAATTTTCTGATTCAAAGAAATTAAAAACTAGGTCAAAACTGTTTTGCTTAGAATAAAATATAGCAAGAACAAGAAGACAAAATGAAACAAAGGAAACAAAACTGAAGAGCAAACAAACATACAAAAAAAGGCTTCCTGGATAAACTCTGAAAACTTCACCCCAATTATAATGAAATATGCATTGTAAAAAATCCATCCTGACAGGAAAAAAAGGATACATAGGAGGTCGACACGTGTGGGAAATAACGTGGGAACGAGACGAACGAGGCTCCTACGCGGTCATCGGAATCGCTCATCCCAAGGCCCCCCTTCAGTGTCTGGGTTACCTGCCACTGATTGGATCCAACTCAGAATCGTGGGGATGGAATTTAAGCAAGAACGTGACTTTTCACGATGGAAATGCGTCTCCTTATCCGGTGAATAATCCGGGATTTTTCGTTCCTGATACAGTTTACTGTATACTGGACATGGACAACCTTACTCTAAGGCGAGTAGCTAGTCTTGGTCTGCAACCACTTTTACGCAATCCACCGGTGCCTTTTTCTTTTTAAAGTGTTTGTTGTCTCCTGTAACATGGGGCTGTCTTAAGGTTGATACTGACAATAGATAGGAGTAACGTTTACTAGGTCCACGTCCATATAATTCATATCGCTTTTGGGTCTTCCTCAGTTTACTCCTCAGTTTTGGTTTGACAGCTATAGACTACAAATAAATGATCTAACATTTTCCCAGATATCGACTTTGATCTGATTTTGCTTATATGCTTAGGTATATATGCTTTGCGTTTATGCTTTGGTGAGTATCCTTTTTCATTCGGCAATAAATTATAACTTTCGAGTGCCGCTTTTGTATTTCCTGCGCAAGAATCGAGATCCCTTAGTTGTAAATTACGGACACTGTTAGAATAGACTTATCGTGCAAGTTTGATTTTAAAGATCTCTACTTCAATTTCAAGCTTTTGTTTTTTCATGAGATTTTTTTCAACTTCTCGTGACTAATTGTTTTGAATTCTGTACTAAATCATTGAAATTTACAATTTTGTTTCAGTTTTGCGACAGAGACCACATATCTCGGTGTGGCGTTTCGTAATTTACCTCGCGATCGGGAGAAGCCTTTGTGCCCATGTGCAAGTGCGGTTTACGGCAATTGTGACATCAAAATGAGGTATATGGGAAGGGGAGGTAAGTTTCATGATTGAAATCTGCCATGTTTTAAGTGAGAATTGATTGTTTAATCTAAGAAATAAGTTACTTCTTGCCTTTCTTCAGAGGTATTTTGGTGGCTAAAAGGGAGAATTTACTTCCAATATTTCAGAGTCGAGTTGCTTGCACCTGCTTTCATGATGAATCGGATTCATGATGTGACTTAGTATTACCCTTCGACGACATTTAGTTTAGTATCGTAAAGTATAAAGTGGGATTCTCCATTTACTAAAAAAGTTAATTGAGCTATCTTCAGATGAGTTTGATTGACTTGGGTGGCTTGGTTCCTGAGATCTCGCCCCATTACTTTCTTGCGTTCACTTGCGAAAGTGAGGCAGTCCGAGATCAGGGCTAAAAAATGTTCTCACTCCAGTTTAGTTTGACAACTGCGCCTTATTTGTCTCAGTGACGGAGCTAAAGTTTTCCATATTTTTGAAAAGAAGACTGAGCTTCGTCGTTTATCTAATGTTTCCTTGGTGGCATTAACAAAAGCATCTTTTGATTTTTTTGAAGACGCCTTTATTGCCAAGTTAGAAGCATCAAAAGAGAAAGCTTCGCAACCGCCAACTTCCCTTGCAGTCAAGCCCCCACCGGAATTACCTGGTCCCAAGTCTCCTCTTCAGTCTCCGAGTTCCTCGGAGTCATACAAGTTCTCTCAAAACTGTGGAGATAACATTGCTATGATGCTTGGGGGGAAGAAAGCCAGGAGGATCGAGTAAGAAAATATTTTCGTTCCTTTTAGCGAGAAACGAACTAACATTGCATTTCACTTTTCCCAATCGAATGCTATGTTTCATAATAATGACAGCTGTAAATATTTACAGTGCCCTACAGAATTTAAACCATGGAGTTGTGATGACTGTACAACCTTTGAAAGATGATGAGCTGTTTGAAGTACGCTTGGACAGTAAAGTGCCAAAGTGGTTTGGCACTCTAGACATTGGAGCCACGACAGTCTCCCCCGAAGGCCTGGAGTTTCCTCCTTCCATGGATCGCTTTCGACAAGGCGTGACGTTTGCACTCTGTGAAAATAAAATACTAAAAAATGGAAACGAAATGACAGAGATATCAAAGGACTTGAATGATTTGACGGTATGTTACTATAATTAACCACCATAGCCTGGGAACTTTGCATTTTTTTTCTTCCTTATAGTGTTGCTATTCACTTTCGCCACCCTACCTCCAATACAATGTTATTTTTCCACTCTGCGTCTGCATTACAACATCATTAGAGTCTAATAACTGTAGATTCCTCCATCGTGGAGGGGCGGGAGGTTTTGAAACTTTTGAGTATCATTTCGGCAACTCTACTTAGTCATCTATTAGCTCGATCACTTGATATTCCTCGTAGCTTAGCCATCTTTTAGCGTAAATCTTTGTAATATTTTTCTTCCGGCCTAGTATTCAGCAAATATTCTCAGAGGGAGGAAATGAAGGGTCAGAAAATTAGGTTAACACCGCAGAGGGATGTTGTCGCCCATAGTACGCTCGCCCTCAATTGAAGTTTTCCCCAAGCGAATATACAAAAAAACTACTTTTAATGAACTGGGAAACTCTTTTGCCTAAAACAGGTTGGAGATCGAGTGGGGGTGATGCGCAAGTTAGACAATTCCTTGCATTTTTTCATAAACGGAATAAATGTGGGCAAGCAGGTCAAAACCCTTCCGCCTGTTCTTTATGGAGTCGTGGATGTATTCGGTCAAGCTGAAGAAGTAACTATAACTGGTTGGTATTTTTCCTCTTTCTTTTGTTCTCTTGCAAGACAGTCAATCACTTTTAAATCCTTATGAGCTATTGGCTGAACTCGAGACTTCAGAGTTTAGTCATTATGTCTAAAATCAATTTGAATTTCTCCGAATTCATTAAATGGCTGAATTTCTACCCTTCTTTCGCGAATCCAGGTTCTTGCATGCCTCTGTAGTATATGTCTGTCCAACCCTTGTGTAGCTGCCTTCCATCTGTTAATTGTTTTGTGGTCCTTTATTCCTTGTAAACCTTTTTGTGATGTAGAATGTTTTCCGCTTTCAAATTGTGTTTTTTCCAATAGGTGGTACGGCGGAAACTCAAAGCAGTAACCAGGATGGGGTGGACTCTGTCTCCGTTATGGTGCGCATGAACAACATCATCGACATCATAAAAGATGGAAAGTTTAACGATCTTTTGTTCGTAGTCAGAAAAGTGGCGAAAGATATACTAGAGCCTTTTTCCGAGACAGACGACAGGCAGCTTCGCATAAAGTATGGTGACCATTTGTCAGACATCGGTGCTCCTATGTACCTAACCATGCTTCTTCGCCGGGTGATGGACATGGGGATGGAGACTCAAGCCGGGGGGCTCGGCATGTGCGTGATTCGTAGTGTATTTTGGAATTACGCGGACGCCAGCTTAAAAATGGCGAGAGGTTTGGGACGAAGTGGGGCTCTGAATATTATGTTAAATGATTTGGACACCTTTGGCCCGTACAGTTCCATAGACGAGGTAAAACCCGGTTGAGCTATTCCTTCACTTACTCTGCAGGATTAACTTTAAGTAGTCTTCACCATTCCTTGTGATCTGCTAGATTCCTCGCGTATTGCTGAGAAAGTTTTTAAAAAGAACGATTGTTCAAGTCTGAATTACTGATGTGAGAAGTCGGAGTTAACGTGTGCACCCGGTGACAAGAGAATGACCGTGGGTATCTATATCCTCCATCTGACATTGATATTGCCTCAATAGAAATGCCACCTGTGCTTGATGATAAAATCCACAAACTTTAACAGGCGGTGGAAGAATGTCGTATTCTTTTTTGACATGCTACTAACATTGACTGCGTATTTTCAAACTAATTTGTTTTCACGCATGCAGTAGAGTATTCTGGGTGTGGCTTACGATAAATGATAAGTTCATTATTGCTTACCTTGCATTCATTTTTTAAAACACAGAAAAAGAAATTCCTGGTCTTTTCTACAATGAGTATTCTGCACAACTGCTCTAAGGCTGCAGAAAATCGTCAGATCCTACTTAATCTGAGAGCGATTGAGAGGATTTCGCCATTCCTGAAGGCAGATGATGTGGAAATTGTTATGGCAGCAATTTTGACACTTGCACACATATCCTCCGATGACCAGAAAAAACGTTTGGAAGCAGAGAGCAGAGTGAGTATTAGGGCGTAATCTTAAATTCTGAATATTGGGATCATTATCAACTGGGAGCCATTATCAACTGATGAGGTAGTCACTGAAAAATGAAATTGAGAGGTTCATGGAAATCCTTGGACATCAATGCCACTCTAGGAGCCTGAGCAAAGGGGTACGTTTCTAAAGAAACTGTGGTGCTGCATCAGGTTTTGGCTAAAATGCAGAGGAGACAAATGCGAAGGGCTGAAAACAACCGCTCTGAAAAGTTACAACGTTTCAAAAGGATGAATATCTTAAGAAAGTCAAAATTACAGATATATTTTTCATGCGTTGCAAATGTTATAACTCCTTCGAAAGAACGATCCCCCTCATAATGTCTTTTTAGCATTATGTATTGTCTCGGGTGAGGTGCGAAGATACTAAATGCTCGTGTGAAGTTCACATGATAACCCAACATCTGCATCAGATATTGGATTATCATGTTGAGTTCAAATTCTGTGTAGTTTCCAAGCCCCTTCCAGGCCGAAAAATTTAAAAAATGTTATTGGTTGAACTGCAGATGGGAAAGGAGAAAAATCTGTTTGAACTGAGATTTTGTTATGATATTTACGAATTCCGTTTTGTTTTTCATTAGGTAATAGGCTATCTGATTGGTATGTTGCGAGATGCACTGAATCAGTCCGACTTGCGAGTAAGATCGGATGGGGGCACGTGGTCTGCTCAAGAAATCGCAGAGGGTTTGGGTAACCTGGTGGTGAATGAAAAGAACATGGAAGTTATGCTGGAGAGAGATGTTGTTTCATTAATGATATCACTCCTCGCGAAAGGTGGGGATACTGAAAAGGAGTGTGCAGCTAACACCCTTTGGATTATCGCAAAGACATCGAAAGGGAAAGCAAAGATAAAGGAGACTGCAGCTGCTACAGAAGAGTTAACTCGCTTGAGCAAAAGTTCCAACCAGTCTGTGCAGGCGGCAGCCAAGAGAGTCCTTCTTAAGCTTAAGGAAACCACCTACACCCAAGGTGAAAGTTCAATTCATTTTCTCTGATTTATAACCCTCAAAACAGTAGAATCATCTGTAGAAATTCGGAGATGAAAGAAGAAATACTAATTGATTGACAATTTCCAACAGTGCAGAGGATAAATTCCTGCACTTTAGAATTTTATTGTGAATCGCGGGTCTAAAAGAATGAACTTTTCCACATCCACTCCCAAAATATTTTACCGGGCTGATATTTTTCTAGTGGGCCCCCATGTTGGGGTGACTAGTTGTATTTAGTAAAAGTTAGAAGGCGTCCTTTACAATAGAATAGCTGTGAATGGTAATGATCCTTGACATTGAGGGCTAACGAGAAAAAGTCGACTCCTTGCTCGCACGTACTGGTCGAAAGCACTAACCCTTGTTCATGTGAAACACCCACAACGTAAGCTGGCTTAGAGCTTTAAACATTGGGAGAGGAAAATTTTCCCAACTTGACTTGCGCTCTGGTTTTTCAGGTGCAGCAAACAAACAGCCAAGAACACGCTGTGACTATCAAGAGAAATGCCGCACCTTCAAGTCATCCCTCAAGCTTTCAGGTATAGGGGCCTCTGTAATCAAACTTAATTCTAGAACCGATGGACCTCTTGAAAGGTTGCTTCGCTGTTTTAAGAGAAATTTATATGATTCTAGTAAGTTTTTCCAGGTGAGTACGACTTTGATCCACTGATATCCCTATAATTTTCTCTCAGACGAGTTTTTCAACCCAAAGTTCGACATATGTTACTGTACAGAGTGTCACGCTGCCCGAGGCGACAACCTCTACTACACTCGAGGGCAGCCCGCAAAAGACTACGGGATACCAATAGGATGGTGTCGGCTTGGACTCATGTAAGTTGACTGTGCTGACTAATAGTCTATAGCTATATCTATAGTTATGTGGTGAAAATTGATCAAACGTCCGGTTTTTGTTTTCAGGGCTGATCGAGTTTTTATTCCTTTCTTTTACATTGTTGTTGTTTTTGCCTTTTGATACTTTTCGATATATTGTTTTTCTTTTACTCTCCATCACTTGCAAGAGTAGGTCAGTAAAGTACGGAACTATTCTTGAGTTTAGTTAGCTTCCCTATAAATCCGAAATGTCTTTTGCTTATGCAACTATTCGTCGAACAGAATAAGTGGAAGGAGATGGCAATGCTATTGATTTGTTTGTTTCTTTGGCCTTGAAAACGAAAACCTTCTTGCTTTCCATTTTCAAACCCTTGAGGTTGTGGTGGAAATTGAAGATATCATATTGTTTCGAAGTGATCGAAATGTTACGGGGGCAATAAAGATTACGTAACTGTTTTTTTAGGGTCAATCCTCGAGCTAAGGCTCTGGACGTGTTTAACAAATGGCACGTAGCATTCCATGGTACAAGAGTCGAAAGTGTAAACGCGATCCTAGAAGAAGGTGGTCTTCTTATCCCAGGCATGTAAATGTTACTAAAGTGCAAAAGCACAAAATAACAATCAATCGGCGTCCTCCTCTCTGGAAGACAAACGATAGCATTTGTTTTTGTCAAAGCCGATAGGCTTAATTGTAATGTTTTTTCTCAGTTTAGTCACTTATTAATTTACCAACTTTTCCTCTATTTGGTCTTGAACATGTTCTAAGCTGTGTACAGCATTCGACAGCACACCCCCTGTAACCAATGCTGTTGGGTGGAAGAGAAGGAATTTTTTCCGGAAAAAATTATTTAATCAATTTTGCAAGTGTTAATTGAGTATGAACCTCTTTTTTAAGTTAAAATCTCGGCTTCACCTTTCTTCCATTTCGTAAGACTTGTGTCAATTAAATTTTTGGGAAAATAGTTTGCATTTTATTATATCTGTAGGCGATGTTGCGCTGGGAGGAAAGAAATTAAGTGAGGAGGATGAACATTTTAATGACGACCGTAAACCAACAGGGTTTGACACAAAGCAGATCTTTGTATCACCGAGTGTGCGCTATTCAGGAGGCGACTCTTATGCAAAACCAAAAAGGTGACCGTGGTCTTCTTATCTAGTTATTTTACATAGTAACACATTCTTAGATTATTTACCGTTTCAAAGCAATAGTAATGTTACTTTATCACAGGAAAACGGATATAATTGCCCCTAGCTGTTGTTCGTTCCATACAGGTGCATAACGCGGGACCTGGCTTGGCTCATCGCCTCCCTCTCCTGAGTAGACCTAGCAGAAATTTACACTAGTATCCCTTAGGACCTTGGAGAAGATGCTGACATCTTTTCGGAAAGGGGGCTTTTGGTAGCTTTATTCTAAAACGGGTCTAGGTTTTAACTCACAATCATAACTATTCTCGAGTTTAGTCAAGTTTGTGTCAAGTTTTGCTTACGTTTTATCAAGAATAGTAATGGTGTGAATGTATTGTAAGTTTCTAAACTCTAATCGTTGTCGAAAATTTTACTTACAAAACGTTCGTGATATGTTTATCTGGGCAAAGGTTTGCTGGAAGGCGAAAATGCGAATGAGAGTGAATATCTTCTTCTACGAATAACTTATTTTTGTACCTCTTCATAAATTTTAGTTTTACCCACCCATCAACCAACAAAACTTACACCGCCAAGGCAGTTCTTCAACTCTGCATCAACCCAGACAGCTACCAAGTTGGACCTCAGACAATCGGTGCTACGGCTGAGATTGATCCAAAGTTTAGTAACCAAGAAATTGAATGGTCTACTAAGGAACGTGGCTCGATTATTCTTTACGGACTTCTGGTTAAACTCGATGAAGAGAACTAAATTTCCCTCTGCCGTATTGATAATTTCAGTATGTTTATTTACAAGTGATTTGTTTTTTGCTGTGTTTTTAAGATGCGTGGGCCTTTTAAACCGTAAAATTAGATCGTGAGGCATAGTGAACAATATGTCATGCAGAAAATACTCTAAAATAACACAAAACTAGTGAATAGAGGGAGTTTGAACAGTTTGACTGACCGACTGAGGGTTTGAGCATGATGAAACGATATGGGAGTAGTGTTTAAATGCTCTTCTTCTTATGAATACTTTGTGATTGCTCACAACTTGCATTTTGAGATGCCCTCTCAGACGTGCAATTGAAAAATTAGAAAACGCAACTAGGCTGTTCAGCTTGTTTCTCCATTGTTTCTAAAACCCCCATTTATTGTTTACAATGGCCACCCTATGTCAGCTCTCAAACGAGCTTGTAGAGTAATTTTGGTTATTATCTGCTCACAGTAAGTTTGGAAGCCTCCGTTTTTTTGCGAAGAGGGAACAAAATGGGTCGTAAAGCCTCAGTGATATATTCTTGTTTATTATTGTTAACCAATAGCTAATCTCAGTATATACTAGTCAATGCCATGGGATCATATAATTCAATTTAACGACAGCAATTAAAAGTTTAGTTACGGTAGAATCCAAAATGTAATCGATGTAGTTAATAAGGTTTATATTAAAGGTAATTGTTCTTTCTGTCTAATTTATCCCTTATTCTTTATGTCTGACGGATTTCTACGATCAGTACAAAAAGGGAAGCCTGACGCAGGTAGGTTGATAGAACGGTTGGACGAAGATTTATGCCATTAAGCATTGTAGCAAAGTTCCTTCACTATTACAATGAAAACACCTAGAAAATAGGTTGTTTTAAATTATTAGGCTGTACTGCTTCCATGAGAGAAAATAATACCGTATACCTCTGATACTGTCAGAATCGGCATACATGGTCTGGCTGATAATTATTGAAATTTGCAGATCGCACTTTATTCTTACATAGCTCAGTGCAAAAAGGGGAAACGAATCAAGCAAATTACGGATGGGAAGGAATGGAAGACACTTACACCACCTTATCTAAGTCAAGATGTGTGAGAAAAAAAAGAAACAAGGAAATGCGTGTGGTGAAAATGATACAAACATAGAACTTCTCGTAGGTGGTAAGAAAGAAAAATCGTGGAAATAAACTCTTCATTCAAACCTTCCTGTTCAGACTTTTGTAAAAAAAGTCTGAAAACACAATTGATAAAAGCACTTGCCCCCAAGATAAAAAAATAGCGAAGCAAGAGGAACCCATGCATTATTGCAAAGTTAATGAAATATACGAATGATTCACGATCCTCGCAGGCAGTAGAGAGCGCTATTTATGCAATAGCGAAAATCAGACCTGAAAAAAATCAGGCCTGTCATATATTCACCGTATCTGATTTATCATCACGGGTTTATTACGAATCAACTTAACGGCCTGCTCCCAGTTGGCTTGTTAGCTCAATTGGTAGAGCGCTGCACTAGTATCGCAGAGGTCAGTGGTTCGAATCCCGTACAGGCCTGATTTTTTTCAGGTCTGATTTTCGCTATTGCATAAATAGCGCTCTCTACTGCAAGGATCGTGCATCATTTGTATCTATAACCGCAGTTTAAAATATATGAACTTCATATATTCACCGTATCTTAATGAAATATCACTGAGTATAAAAAGTGAATCTAGTAGTCTAACAGAAGCCTGACTGGAATTGAAATCGTCTCGTAAATATGATATTTACCAATTAAGAATCGAACTTGCACCGTTTTGAAAGCTTCATGAAATCAGCCCTATCTGTGCGTCAGCCGGAAAAAAGCAGCATATTTCCATACTTTGAATTTCACAAAGCCTTGTAGATGTTTTCGCTTGATTGGCTTTTTAAATTTTGAAGGATAGAAATATCCTGTGATGAGATCCATCAGAAATAAAAGGCCTTGGCAGTGAACCACGGTGAGTTGCACTGCCCATCTCTTCCCACCACAATTTTTAGATGAACAAACTATTTTATCATCTTATCAAAAGTTAAACCTTCAGTGGTGGGAGGTAATCAATAGCATGTGGTCCCCGGAAATATGATTAAGTCTAAACCTTCAGCCATCTTGTGAACTTCACAAAAGTTATTAAAACTTCTAACAATGTGAGTGGCACAGAGATTTTTCGTTTCAATCAATCATTGAGATCTGAGTAAAAAGTCCTAAAAATTTAATTAACTTTTCTGAGATATACTTGCACTGAGATTTTCACGCCAAATCTCATAACAGTGGTCAGTCAAATATTTGAATTAGGCAACTTTTTTCACAAAAGAGAACAGAAAAGAGTCAGTGGCAAGTCAAGCCCGTTGCAAAAACTGATGAAAACATCGCATAACTGTCTCTGTTCACCAGCCGCTTAACAGTAGGTGAAAAGTTTCAATTATCTAGCATTTTAATGTTACCTTTACATGAGTAAAAAGCAAGAAAACTGGACATATTACCATGACCAAGAGGAAGTATTATTCGCACTGACCAATGCATTAGGTATCAAGAAGCACGAATTCATAATTTAAATATGTATCTTTATTACAAGTTTACTACAAGTTTATTACAAGTTTTATTTACTTACTTTCTTGAGTTTTCCTGCAATACTGCAATTTTGTAATTCCACTATTTTTCGGTCATTACATATGTTATGGAGAGTGCCCGTATTTGCTTGAAAGCGTTGTGTTACAGACTTACTAAAAATAGAACTGAGGAAGTTTCTGAAACCGTTAGTCATGCTGACTCATTAAGAACTCTTAATGGAACTTTCCAAAACCCTTAGTCGGCATATTGTTGCAATAGCGATGTAATGATACTAAAAATAGTTGTATTACAGATCCCTGGAATATTCTAGAACATTTTGTGAAAAATATACTAGGAGTTGTGATTGGTTAAAGTTAGCCTTTCTTTTAGAGCAGAGCCAATGTATTGTGAAACAGTGTGTTGTCGCGGAGTGTCAACCGAGTTAGTGCTGTTGCGAAGAGCCCAGAAGAGCTATTGTTGTTACAGAGCCAGAAACAGAGGATTTTTGGAATTTTTATTGTTACTGGAATCGTCAGCCGTATGGAAGGCTACGTAGAGAATAGTTTTGTGGACATCGATAAGCTACAAGGATCTTTGAAGAGAACTGTGAGTTGTGCAGTAGTACACTGAGATTATAGTTTTGTAGTGTTTCGGGAAAATTTAGTGATTTTTCCCTGTGGATGTTTAAGTATATTTATTCGTTATTTTGGTATTCTAGCCGTTCTCAATTCATGCGAGTTTCTTTCATTGCGATGTTTTAAAAAGATAAAAAGTCACAAGTAAATTTTGAATAGCCGAGTTAAATTGCACAGCTGCATCTCGGTATTTTTCATGTTCAATTCTAGTGAAAGTTTTAGGAAAATATAAGTGTTAATGTTCTTTCTGGAAAAAATTGGTTCTAATGGTAGTTGGTAGCTGAGTTTATACTCGCAATTTTAATTTCCTTCGTAAGATAGTTTCCACAACAACCTTGCGTAGATAAGCAGATACTTTTAATTACTTTTCCGCTTTTATTTCCTAAGCTGCGCTATTGCAATTAAGATAGGTATATCTTCTATACCAGAGCTCTGAATTCTCACTTAAGTTTCCGATTTTTAATGGCCTCGAGTTTATTACATCCGTCCTTTTAATGTGAAATTCTTTTCGTCGTAGAGACACATAGGAATATTTAAGTAGTTTTCGTTTAACTTCAAAGAGATCTTTAGCGCTTCTTTAAATATGGTCGATTTAGATAACAACAGCGCTTCACACCAGTTAGTTGATGAGCAGCTCCTTGTACAGTTTTGATGATTACAAACTTGAGTACGCCAGAGGTCATGTCGCTTGTTGGCCTGAGCTAGAATAGAGTTTACTGTGGAACCAAAAGATTGTCTCATCTGTGACGTCCGTATAAGCTCGCTCGAAGTAGATCTCCGTGTACCAGGAAATCGTGACGAGTTTCCGTTCTCGCAAGCCGAGTGGTCTCTACCGAGTTAATTTCCCCCCAGTTATTGTTGTGCCGTCCGCGAAGGTTCAGTATCCCAGTTTAGCACGCGAAAACCTATCGTCACAGTAGAGGGCTCTAAGTTAAGAGGATAGTTATTGTACTGGTTACTGATATCGCTCCTTAATAAGATTATTACGTCAGTAAATAAAGTAGTTGAGTTAGTACGAATTGTATCTTTCTGTCGGTTGGGAAAATACCGTAAAACATATGCCTTGCGTTCATTGTCTGAGGTGGTTTTAAAGGAGGTTAGGTTAGTAGAGTCGTCCTAATTTAATGTTATATATGGGAGAAAATAGCCCACCTTGAAGTGATGTGAAATAAACAGCGCGAAAGGTTCAAAGTGTGATTCTTCTTACAGTCTATATCACTTTTTAATTGTGCGTTACTCAAATTTAATGAGGGAAATTTGTGCGAAATATTCTGATTAGATAAGAACAAAAACAAACACTGTTTGGCAAACAACCGAAACAAAAAGTAGGTAAGAGAATGAGGAAGAAAGGTAAGCCATAACGACACAGGCAGTTTGCTCCAAGCATATTTGCGCCTAAAATTTGCATACCTATTGGCAATAGTGGTGAGAAAGAAAGACTTATCTGAATAAAAAGAGTATTATCCTTTGAACTTTGAAAGGAAGAAATATTTTTAAAGGAGCAAAAGAGTTGCACAAACATCAAGGCAAATTGTCTTAGCAACTTGTCTCGATAACACGCTACTTAGAATACTCCACTATACGATCAGCGAAAATAATCTTGGTCTAAAAATTGCCGTAACTGTTTTGTTTATTTTAAACGGTGCCCTCACTAATATTCTTGAGAGTAACCTTCCAAATAAATAATTGTTTCGGTAATTTAGGATACGACAGTATTGTCAATCAAAGGCTTTTCAACGAAAGCTGTCCAAATCTCCTGTGAAATTAAACATTCTGCGTTTCGTTTTCACGAAAAAGCTTGATTGCTCTTAAAATATAGCTTCATTGTTATCACATCGACATTTTATGAGCGGCAGCCGTTCAGAGAACCAAAAAAGTAGCGATTGGAACTCTGTAAAATATATTTATTTTGTAATAAAAGTTGACAGACTGTCAGTTTCTTTCTGTTCTGTACCCCTTCTTCTTCGTCTTGTCGAACTCTGTCGGGCAGTACAATGAAAAATGGCCCGCTAAATTGACCAATTGCGGCGCACGTACTAACTGAGAGGTATAATAATATATATGGTCAACTGAATTCTTCGAGCTTTCTGCATCCGTCATACCAACATACAAGCCACTGTGGACAGTGACACTGTTTCGCAAACAGTAATAATCCCATTGGGAGACTAGTGGTAAGGAAGGAATGCAAAAACGCTGAGTCACGATAGTAATTACTCAAGTTTAAGATGATGATCCTGTCGATGGATGCTGCTTTGTTTTTCTCTAGACAAAACTAACTTGACGATGTTTGTGATTCATTCCTAGTCTCACGAAAAATGTTCTTGAGGGAGGGTGTCACTTCCTTCATAGCGCGGGTAATTCTTCTCCTTATTCTTATGTTAGCCTTGAAGGGTGGAAATGGAGCTTTGGCTCCACAGGGTGAGCACAGTGTCTGAATGTTAACATTTTGTTTTCACGATTACAATTGCATTTAGAATTTATGATGACTGTGAATTAATTTATTTTTCAGTATCAACTTTATCTGCTTGAATTTTGAACAAATACTCAAGTAAACGTTTTATACATATATTTCTGAAAAAAAAAATTAAGAGAAGTGTGAGTTGTTGTAATAAGTATCTGGTCACTTTTGCATTCCTTTTTACGGATTTTTTTTCGATAATGAAAGTGGTCAAGTACAAGCTATCGACTCATAAATGATATCTATCGTTTTTACATCTATAGTATCTAGACAGCGGGATAGGCATGTCAGGCTCAAACTGCTACAGCATTTGCCGTTATGTCATTGCCATGTTTAAAATCTCTTCGTTTCTGTCAAAAGAGGTCCGTACAGTCTTTGATTTATTCCTTTTAAGCTTTCCAGCCGACATGTTTTACGAAAATGCAGTCTCTTAACTACATCCCTCTATGGCGGGTGAATAGAACAACCATCATGCAGCGTATTCAGCGGTGCCTTCATGATGCGGTGCAATCGAGCTTACTGTGAGACTTTTTACAAACCATAGCTGCATACGCTCACATTAATTAGAATGGACATCTATGAACAGTATATGATAAACATGAAAGCTGAAATGTCAGAAACATGAATAAATTGCAGAAAGGTCACAGCTAATTCAACAAAGAGACTAAACCCTATTATATGTAAAGAGATGGTAATTAGCTTTATGTCATATCCTAACTTTATTCTCAGACCATTAGTTATTGGTAATAACACTACAGAACGTGTACCGACTTACAAGATTCTAAGAGTATTCATCGATAGCGACCTTAGGTGGAATAGTCATGTTGAGTGCATATATAAAAAGCTTGAGAGAAGCTCTATTCCTTACGTATTCTACATCGAGCCGGCGTTGACCAAGGTAGCATGTTAAAGGTCTATACAAGCTCTGTTAAATCTGTTCTAAAATACGCCGTGCCGGTGCGGCAATTCATTCCAGGTTATCTGTCTGACAAAATTGAATCCATACAAAAAAGGGCGCTTAAGACAATTTTCCCGTGTGCTGATAGCTACTCAGATGCCCTCGAGTTAGCACGGGTGGAGATCCTTGCGTATCGAAGAGATAAGATATGTCAAAAGTAGGTGTGCAAAATGAAGGACCCACCCTGTTCATCCTCATCTACCAACACGCCTAAGCGATACCTGTCCCTACACCCTCAGGCACAAATCAGACCAGTTGAACCTTTACAGAAACGTTACTACTTGCAGAACGAAGTGCATCGAAGACTTTTTCACTTTTAAGTATTTTTAACAAATGTGATGCAAGTTCTGGTGTGGTGTATATAACTTGTACTTAATGTATACAGAAATGTACATAGTCGATCTTATTAAGTTTTCATTGTATTATAACTCGTTAATTCAGTAAGTTACTGGAAGAGAATTTAATAAACTGCTATTATTATTATTATGATCGTAAGAATGTATTCTTGTAAGGCAAGCATACATTTATGTAATAGGGCTCCCTTGGGGACTGAGTACAGAATGTTTGGTTTCAGCAAGCGTTTCATCTGATCTCGAAATCTTGTTAGCCTTTGGCCGAGACATTCAAAGTATCACTGAAATTCCTTTCAAAGTTCTCGAATGAAAGATTTTACCTTATCTCCGATTGTCCCGACCAAGAGGTAGCTTGAGTAGCCCAGACAGAAAGAAAAAAAGAAGCATCGGTGACCAGTTTTCAAACAGGGGCTACCTAGAAGAACTTTAAACCGCATATATACCCAACTTCCAATGCTACCTAGAACATTGAGGGTACCAAGTTGTCCATGGTGCACTTTGGTGAAACACTTGGGTAAGGAGAAATGTTTCAACTTTTTCGCTCAAACGCACAAAAGTACTTTCTTACATTAAATGGCTGGATGCACCGGGAGGTTTCGCCAAATATCCAGGAATACTCCAGATAAATTTATTTCAGGTACCACCCATACATTGCCTTTTACCAGTAGTGCACGTTGATGCTTTTAGAGATTTGTTTTTGATGATGGCAGTGAATATCACCGTTATCTGTTCTGCCGGTGTGATCTATAGTGCCCGTAAGGTAATTAACCTACGAAATACAAGCCTTGAGTTGGAAGAAAAGTCCGCGGAAATTTCGCAAACAAAAGAAGTAATATACAGAGATGTGTTTTTCTTCCTGCATGTGACATATCTGACTAAATTTCTTAAGAAAGCCAATGTTCTTCCTTTCGCATGCTGGAGTCTCTGTAGAGATAAACATGTGAAGTTCTGTAATGAGTATCCAAAAGCAGATCCTAGCATTCAGTGCCACGGGTCAGCTTATGACCATTTGCTGATTGTGGCATAGGTTTCAACAGCTTTCATCCTTGCCTTACGTGTTTCTTTTTTTGTCGTCCTTTGTAGGCACCACAGAATAAAGAGATCCATCAATGATGGCGACATTAGCACTGGAGAGGAAATTGTCACAGGATTACGATTCCTTTTCGAAAATTACAAGCCTCATTCTTGCAGGCCTTTTATTGGTTGGGCTTGGGTCAGAGCTGGTATGTATGGGATACTTTTCGCTTGGTTGAAACCACTACAAGACACTTAATAGAACAGACTTATGACGACTACTCTCGCCGTCACAATAGTGAACCTCGGCATTAGAGCTGTGAGCAGAATACCAGCAGAGAATATATCCAAGTATATAACCGCCGGCCAGTTAGCCCAATGGATAGTGCGCTGGACTGTTGTGCGGGAGGTCGAGGGTTCGAGCCCCGGCCGGACNTGTCCTCCCGTGGGGTGGGATGGGTGGGAAGATAGCAGATCCACATCTGCAAATAGCTGCCATAATTCAACCTGCTCAAACAAGTAAAGGAGATGAGATAAGATACGGATACGGTGGCAATGAAGATACTGATTCTTGGAGCTAATACTCTCGCGATTGGCTAACTCATTGGTTGGAAAATGTACTATGAGTATAAGTAAAAGATAGATAAATAAAACAAAATCAATATTATTGCTCCATGTCGATTATTTCATGAAGATACAAAATTGCTGAACGGATCCTTTTGGTGAGAGAATTCATTATTATCCAAATAGTCTACTAATCATTTGAACTCTTTGTTTATTCCGACTTCAGTTCAATACCTGATGTTTTTGCATCAAGACTTAAATGGGTGGCGCAAAAATCCGCAATGGTCATTTGCTTGCTATCTGGCATTACTTCTTCCACTAAAGTACTTACAAGAGGAAATTCGCGGTATGGTTGGTACGAGCCTACCTAAAGCTCAGCTTGATACTGGAATGATGGAGAAACCGTCCGTTGCCGCTTGCGCGGAGGACACGGTAGCCCTGAGTTTTGATCTATCCCGGAAGAACGGTGTACTGAGGGATGATAAAAACAGCGCGGAATCGAATAAGGAAAACCAAGAAGTCATCATGCATAGCGACGAGAAATACCATCGCACACAAACAGAGATATGCATGTGGAGTACACCTCATTTTAATGATCACTAAAAGGAAACCAACGGGTAACTCTGTAAAACTTTTTTAGAGATAGTACTCTGGCCGGCAATATTCATATACTCTATATATACGAGTTCCCTTGCCAATTCACTGTCCCTTATCATATTATTATACTAGAAGTGATCCTGATCAATTCACTTCACAGCTCTTTAGTTACGATAATAAAGAATCATTATAAACTAATGCATTTTAAATAGTTTGAAGGCTTCCTTCTTATTCCCCTTTTTATTTGATAAAGAAAGTTTAATTACAGCTTTAAGATGAATGGTAGTCCTAAAGGAAAATGTGTAATCATGAAAGTACCGAGATGAAAATATCTCATACACAGTCTATATGCTAAGGAATGTTGAGGAAAAGATATTTTTGTGTTTTTAGATTTCAACCTCTTACACTCGGATGCTTCTTGTTAAAAGAGACACCAGCAGCGATCATTTCATCAGAAGGAAAAAGAGGATTTCAACCAATGAGGCACGAGAAAGCTAAGAAAGGATTTCGGATTGTTATCATGATAATCTTTACGACAAACGATTGCGGAACCATGACCATGTACTTTGTATGTCCCTGTCTATAAGAAATGCTCTTACTTGTTTGAATCGCTACGTGATAAACACGTGAGCCTTTCTACGGTAACGCTAAAATACCCCGTGCCCACACTTTTCGCGCGCCTGCTATATACCTTTTGCCAGTGATGTGCTTGATGGTTTTTGGTCGAACAGAAAAAAATACCTTCAAATTTTGTAGATATCGACAACGGTCGCATGCTAAAAGTAGTTCAACATTTGCATTTTTTAAAAAAGTTTGAAATTTGTAAAAAATTTATATGATAGGTGCTTTTGTAAGAGTTCTACGCTTGCGCATGGAAAGACTATAATTTCCTCTTTAACCAATATCTTTTTCTTGGCACAAGGTAATTTTATTTCCACAGCCTTTTTTAATAAGCTACTATAACCTCAATAAAGTAATGATAATAATAGTAATAATAATATTGGTTTATTAATAGCATTTCCATGGGTAAAATGGCTCTTCACTTGTTATACAAATGTTGTAGAGCATTTTCAAGGTTTAAATTTCAAGTATTTTTAGGTTTACCTTTTGTTTTATTAAGTCTCGCCATTTCGCCCCTACGTGCTATTTTGATGAATCTATAGTTTTGATAATTTATTTTTAGTGTGTGCTTGAACTTGGCTCAGTTCTCACCGTGCTAGACATTTTAATCCCTTGTTATGGTTG